AAGTTCTGGAAACGTGTAACAATGTAAGTATACTCACCAGTACTGAGCAGGACGCTTAAAGATAGTTAAGATGGTAAAGCTTCTGCTAAATGTATTTTACCACCATTTTAAAAGAAGAGATGGTAATGCCAGCTTCATAGATTATGGCCAAGAGTAAGGGGAGATAACATATATTACACAGTAAACGCAGGGCCCAGCCTGTAATATGTACGCATTCTGTGTACAGTATTCATGCAGTTTTTTTAGTAATCAGGTATGTGTGTTATGTGAATGGTTATTATTTCACTTAAAATGGTTTTGTAAACACTTCTGTAGTTTTTATAAATCACGACACTATCAGTGTAATGCCCAACACAGAATTTTATTTGCTGCCCCTCAGTTTTACTTCACTGCCCTCTTGTGCCTATATTACTAGGCCAAATGATGTGAGCATTTTTCATCAGCTGTTATTTTGTTATATGATGTGGAAATAAATAACTTGAAAATGTAAAGCTGGACCTTCAGGAAAGGGTCATGTTATACATAGTAAGAATTATGCCAGCACACAAATTCCTTGCCAATCACTCAGCATTCAAATACTCAGGGGAAAAAAAGAACACAACACATTTTCACAGGGGTGATGTTTAAATTAAATGGCCTGATTAAAACAAAAGTATACACACCCACACACATATAGTACTCGTAATGCTCTGGTTGGTATTAAATGTCACCACTCAACATAGAGAAATACAGATACTAATATAACTGTTTGGGCATTTTAAACTAATATAACCAGGGCCTTGCATACTCAAGAGAAGAGTATCGTTTAACTCAAACACTTCTGAAAAAGTATAGGGTTTTACATTTTATGGGTGTGTGCTTCCCCCAAATTTTATCTTCCACAAGTGACAGATCCTCCATCCCCTTCCCCAACTAAGACACTTCCCAGCCTCCCTAGCAGCTAGGGTGGCCATGTGGTTAAGTAAGTTCTGTGTGATGAAATATAAGCAGAAGTTACATAGGCCTTTCAGAAAAATGCTTTAAAAGGGAAAAACCATGCTTTATCTTTCCCCTGCATTCTTCCTCCTGCTGCATGGAACTGACAGAAGCATCACTCCTCCCTCAGAATCACACATCCCCCAGCCGCTCCGAGGCCCATGGGTGTCATACAGCTGATTCTCCCCAAGAAGAGACCAGAGACAACTGCTGTTCCTAGAACTCCCTGGAGATCCAGAACATAGCTCAGAGAGGAGTGTCCTTCTGAAGCCTCCCTACCTAGACAACACTATCAAAAGAACACCTCTCCCCATCTCCAGCCTGGCCTGCAAAAAAAAAGATGACCCAAACAGCCTCTATAGAACCAATGACATCTCAGAGAATGTCCCCTGGTCCCTGGTCCTGAATCCTGGGGGAATGGGACCTAGCACAAATTCACTTCACTTCTTTGAGTTTCCATTTTACCTTTTATAAAATGGAAACTAACCTACCTGTCCTATTCTGCAGGGTGTTCTGTCCAAGTAAGACTATGGATGCAAAAGCATCTTAATTTACAATGGAATCAAAATATAATGAAGGGTAATGACATTTAGAGCTACAGTCAAGAAAGACCAGAGTGGCTGGAACAGACAGGAAGAATTCCAGGAACTTACCCTGAAGATATCCTTATAAAATTATACAGAGATTTGTGTCCATGAGACTCACTGCAGCTTTATTTATAGCATTTAGACATAATATAAAATAAAATAAGGTACATCAATATAACCAAATACTATGTAGTTAATAAAAAGAATGAGGTAAGTGATAAAAGAAAGAAAGAACATGAGCATATCAGCTGGTGTTATGGTGCCAGGACTAAAATTGGAAGTGGTTAAAAGGGATGACCTCACCTACCAGTTAAATGAGATGAACAAAGTAGAGAAGAGACTACAGGGGATCAAAGTCGCCCACACACCTGGGAGATGAGAGGCAAGTGGAGGAGTGTGCAGATCACAGACAGCAAGCTACCTCCTCCGTGCAGAAGTGGCCACCTAGGAGAAGAGTTCAAATCCCAGCAACCTGGAAAAGCTCAAACCTGGAGCCACCAGGAACCAGAAAGTCTCCGGACTGGATGCCAGTCAGGAGTGGGGAGAGATGGTGGACTGAAAACGAGCAGCGGCTGGGAGGACCTTCAGTCTCTTTCCCTGGCTGGCCCCCGAAATACCAGCAGTCAGGTAATAACCTTGTTTCAGGAGGGATTTTTCTCTGGAGAACAGACACCTGGGGGATCCACCAAAATGAATGGGTCTCTGTTTAGTGACTCTCCAGCTGACAAACTGTTTAGTGACTCTCCAACTGACAAACCAAAATGAATGGGTCTCTGTTTAGTGACTCTCCAGTATTTCATCAGGCTGTTGTGCGGCCCATGGAAATAGAGACAGACTAGGAAGGCTCAACAGACAACAGATAAGGGATGCGGTTAACGTAAAGAGAGGAGACCAAGAAAATAAACTGAAGAACTTGAGGGGAAATAAGAGACAAAGCAGGGAGCAAAAGAAAACAGGAAAAAAAAAGGCAACAAACCCATCAATTAGTATCCTCAGGGAAAAACAAGAACAGGGTGCTATTAAACAAGGATAATGAGGGGCGCCTGAGTAGCTCAGTAGGTTACAGCCTCTCCCTTCGGCTCAGGTCATGATCCCAGGGCGCTGGGATCGAGCCTGCTTTCCCCTCTCTCTCTGCCTACTTGTGATCTCTGTCAAATAAATAAATAAATAAAATCTTAAACAAAACAAAACAAGGACAATGAGAGAAGAAGATGCTTTCAAAATTCTAGGAGACAGAATTTTTACTCTGGAATTCCACGCTGAGCAGAACTATCAAGCTATAGGAGCAGACTATGTTAGGGTAGACTAAAGATGTTCAATCACATAAGGACTTAGAAAAACCTACCTCCTATGAATGCTTTCTTAGAAGTTCCTAGAATTAAGATTCCACCAGAAAAAGGGAGTAAATATAACATGGGATCCAGGAAAGAGGCAAAGGAGGGTCCCAGAAGGCCTAGAGAACAAATAATCCAGACTAGAGCAGGAGGTCACAGAGGGCCACAAGATGGATGTCTCAAGAAAAGGGCAACTGTTTGGCCATGTGAAAAACAGAAATCAGATGGGTTTTATAAATCTGTCAAGAGTTTGGGAAGAGGGGTGCCTGTGTGGCTCAGTGGGTTAAGCCTCTGCCTTCGGCTCAGGTCATGATCTCAGGGTCCTGGGATCCAGGAGCTTTGGGCTCTCTACTCAGCAGGGAGCCTGCTTCCCCACCCCCCCTCTGCCTGCCTCTCTGCCTACTTGTGATCTCTCGCTCTCTGTCAAATAAATAAATAAAATCTTAAAAAAAAAAATTGGGGAAGAATTGGTACATGATTACCAAACCAATGAAGTAATTAACGAGGGACCAAGACCAGATCTGTATTTATTTTACTTGCCATCAGTGAACAATAATTAAACAGTGAATACTGATTTAACCAACAACTGTGGTGTACCTATACTGGGAGAACAGAGGAAGAGAAACTGGGGACAGGAAGCAGTATTAGAACGCTAATTTAAATTCTCATTTTCTATAGGAGATCTGTAAAGGATGTAAACCGATAAATCAGGAAATACCATAAACCTACATTTAAAGAAGACAGATATCCCAAAAAACCCCGAAAAGTTTGGGAAGTAAAACTCTAGGCTGGGGTAGGACACTGCTTTTGTGTTAAAAGCCTTGATGTACTCTTAATTTTTAAAAAATATGTTCAAGAACTACTTTACAAATAACAAAAAATAATTAAAAAAAAGAGAGAGAGACTATGTAAGGGACTAAGGTGAGGAAAATTTATTGCCCTCCTTTTATTCACTTCTGTATTGTTTGAATTTCTTAAATCATATGCATACAGCATATGGAAGAAAACATTAGATAGTTCTATACACTGACACAGCCTAGCCAAAGGCAACTAAAAATTGAGGCCGAAAAATAACTGATTTAAGAAATTCTAAAGAGTCTCTAAGATTTAGTGACTTGCCATGTGTTTAATCACATGGAATAGAACATTGCTGGTACATATAAACAAGAAAAATTACAAAGCTAACTAATGGAAATCTATTCTCAAGACCTAGTAATGGATTTAGTAAGTCACTCAGGGACAGGTTAAATCTGGGAAGTGCAGAAGTCTAGGACAATTACAGATATATGTGTATGATCATTCATGAAAGTTAATTATTATTATTTTGTCCCACCTGTGAACCAACAGTACCTACTCCCCTCCTCCTTTTTCCTATTAACTGGAAATGGTTAAAATGCTCATTTTTATCACTGGTGTGTCATATCCCTTAAAGGTCTCTGATCGAATTTTCTCTTCAACAGACTCAAGCTTTAAGATCAAAGCTGCTCATTATATATCTGGCATCATAGTGTTTACTTCACAACAAAATCTGAACCCCAACAGATCCCGTTCACTTCTGATTTCTTTTTTAAAAAGATTTTATTTGACAGACATCACAAGTAGGCAGAGAGGCAGGCAGCCAGAGAGGAAGGGAAGCAGGCTCCCCGCTGAGCAGAGAGGCCCATGCAGGGCTCCAGGGCTCAATCCCAGGACTCTGGGATCATGACCCAAGCCCAAGGCAGAGGCTTTAACCCACTGAGCCACCCAGAGGCCCCTGTCCTGATGATTTTTGACAAAGCTCCAACACTGAGGCTTTTCTGAGCATGACTTTTACCTTTCCTGGGTGGAGAAAATACTCTTGACACTGCTCCTGAAGTTCAGGACTTAGCTGCTCGCTCACCTGCTGTGACAGTAACTAAGAGTATAATTAAATGGAGAGTCGCTGAAACTCGCAGGTGATTCGTGTTTCTGTGTTGCCCTGCTCCGCCTCCAAACAAGGCTGACTTTACAGGCGTTTTAGCGTCTCGCTAGACACAAAGAGAAGAAAGTGAGGCTGCCAGCGGGCGGCGGGAACTCTCGAAAAGGGGTACCCCCGGCAACACGGAAGCCACGCAACGACATTTACCTTTATTCGTCTCCGTTTTCTCCCCTTTTCTTCCCCTGGAAGCTGCTTCTCTCCTTTCTTTCGCTTTTTCCGCTTTCTGTCCTTGTGTTTGTCATGATCGTTTTTGTCTTCGAAGAGGCTTGAGTCGTGCCCCGAGCTGCCCGTGGAGAGCTCGGTGACCTCGTTCCCTCCCACTTTGAGGACCAGCTTCAAGGGCTTCTCTACATACTCTTAAACAAAAGGAGAGAGCCTGGATTACCGGCGGACGTGCGGGGCAGCGTCCACAATGCAGAAGCAGCGTGGGCAGAGGGAGAAGGGGCGCCACGGCCGCGGCGGCTTGGGGCACGCAGTGGGCGCCCCGCGAAACACCTGTTGACTGACGGACACTTGCCCCGAGGGTGTCCCGAACGCTGCGGGCCTCTGGGCGCCGTCTCACACCTCCCGGCAAGAGCCCCGCCGGGAACCAGGGATCTGGGGTTCGAATGCGGCCCCCAGCCTGGGGTCTGCGCTGCCTCTGGCGGGCCGCGCCCCCTTCGCGGGTCCCGGCCTGCCCGTGGGAGGTGCGGTCCCCAGCCCGCCTCCGGAGCTCGAGAGTGGTCTCGAAGGAGCGAGGACCCTCCTCCCTCCCCCTCCCCCAAGCCCGGAGCCGCCGCGGGCCCGCCGCCCCCGCACCGCGGCCCACTCCTCACCCTCATAGAGATGTTTGTCCGACTTGTGCTTCTTGTGCTTCTTGCCCATATCCGACCGGGCCCCGGTGCCCGCCCCCCGCGCCAGGCCCAGGCCGTGCGGCGCCGCTTCCGGTCCGGGCCAGGCAAGCGGAGGGCGGGAGCGGGGCCCGCGAGACCCCGCGCCGCGAGGCAGGGGGACGGCGTGCGCCGGGCGGCGCGAGGCCCCTCACGAGAAGACGGCGCCCGAGACCCGGTCGTAGCCCGAGAGCGGCGGCGGGGCTGCGAGCGGCCGGCGCGGAGGCGGGAGAGAGGGCCCGCCGCGCGCGCTGGGTGCGGTCTGCTGCCCGTGGCGGCCCCTGGCGGCTGGAGGTGGCTCTGCAACCCGCGGGTCGGGGGCGGAGTCCGGGCTGGGGGCGGAGTCTGAGTCGGGGGGGCGGAGACCGGGCCGGGGGCGGGGTTCACTGCTCAGAATCTCTTGCCTCTCTCCTCTCCTCTCCTCTCTCTTCCTACCTCAGCTTTCTCTTTCCCTCTTCTACCTTCTCTTCCTCCCTTCCTCTCTTTCTTCCCTCCGTCCTTCTCTCCTTTTTTCTGTCTCTGTCGATCTGATTGTCCGTCTCCCTCTGTCTCTCCTTCCCTTCCTCTCTCTGTCTCTGTCTCATTGTCTCTCTGTCTCTCCCATCCTCTCTCTAACTCTGTTTCTGTCTATCCGCCAGTCTTTCCATCTCTCCCTTCCGTCCTCTCTGTTCCTTTCTCTTTCCTCCCTCCTCTCTCTTTCCCTCTCTTCCTTTCCTCTTTTTCTCCCTTCCCTCCCTCTTCCTACCACTCTTTTTTTTCTATCATCCTTCCCTCTTCCCTGACTCCACACTTCTACCCCTGTCCCACTTGTTTCTGTCTTCCCTTTGACAATATTTATTGAACCTTGTACTAGATGCCAGATCCCACAAATCCAGCACATGGGTAACTAGAAGGATTCTAATCTTAAGAACAAAATAAAACAAAAACCCTTATGTGCTGGGTCTGTAACTAAAACTGTAACTAAACTAACTAAAACAGCATAAAAAATATGAAACTGAGTGTTTTTTGGTAAAACTCATATATGGAAATAAACGTTGACGTCTAGATGAAAAGGTTCTGGTAGGGTGAAAGTGGACTGTTTTAGTTTTATGCTTCTCCCTATTGTTTGAAAAATTTTTCATGTACATGTTAAATTATTAAATGCTTTTATTTATTTAATTTTTTTAAAGATTTTATTTATTTATTTGACAGAGATCACAAGTAGGCAGAGAGGCAGGCAGAGAAAGAGGAAGGGAAGCAGGCTCCCCGCTGAGCAGAGAACCCAATGCGGAGCTCGATCCCAGGACCCTGGGATCATGACCTGAGCTGAAGGCAGAGCCTTTAACCTACTGAGCCACCCAGGCGCCCCTAAAAGCTTTTATTTATTTACTTATTTATTTAGAGAGAGCAGGAGCAGGGGGAGGGGCGAAGGGAGAGGAAGACAGAGAATCTTAAACAGGCTCCATGCTCAGTATGGAGCCCAACATGGGACTCCCACTCAGGACCCTGATGATCTGAGCTGAAATCAAGAGTCAGGTTCTTAACTGATGGAGCGCCCAGGGCCCCAATGTTAATTTTTTTCTAAATGAAAAAGATTGAAATACAAGTTAGAAAATAACTTGGAAAAAAATGATGAAAATGTATCTATTAGAGCTATACCAACTAAGAATCCACACTAACAGCATTGCTCTTAGATGCGCATCTACTCCTTGATGTTGTTCTAAGCCTTTCTCACTCACTCTTACCCTCAGGTGCCGAGCCCTGCTGGAGAGCTGTTATTCACATTTCTGCTCATTGGCCAAATATATTGTATTTAGCCAAATATAGTATTAAGATGTACTTATTATAACACATGCAGGGATGTTGGCTGCAAAGAAGCAATATAATGTTGATATTTTTCCACATGACAATTTCATAAGATAGGAAGCACAGAAACATGCTTATTCCCATTTTGAAGATGAGAAATGGATGCCCAGAGAAATGAGGTAGGTTGCCAGTTAGTGGTAGAGCCTGGACTCACATTCAGGTTTTCTGAATTTGAAACACAAGCTCTTTTTCATATGAATATGGGGAAGATGTCTTGACTGTCTCTACTTTTAACTTTATAATGCCCTGTGTATTTTTAAACTAAACCCATAATCACAGCCTTCTCTCAATAAAGGATCTTAGTCATTTACACTTTAGTAAGAATTTGGACCTCTGGATCATATCTTCCAGGAAGATTTGTAGCTTTAGCTTGAATTCCAATGGTAAAATGGGAGATTTGTAGTTCAGGCCAGTTTGAATTATTTCAGGAAAGCTAAAAAGATTCCAAGTAAGAAGATTTTCAAGTAAAGCTTGAAGATGGGAACCAGGGATCTGATGCTATCTGGTATCTCTTTGTCTCTCTTTGTTTTGTCTCTGTGTACATTAGGCTCCATTTCTCTCCCCCTCCAACCCCATGGCTGAAAACATGGTTACCAGTAGCTGTTTCCAGATTAACTGGGTCAATAGTCTATTCTCTGTCAGTTTCCCTGAGGAAGAAATGCCAGAGAAGGGCTCTGATTGCCTTGGGTTGTGTCACATATTTCACGGGCTGGGGAATGGGAGATTGATCCAACTTGGGTACCAAGTCTGCCCCCAGGGCCAAGAGGAGTTAGAGTCTGTGACAGCCAGGCCCCATCAGACCCTCAAGGTTAGCCAGGGAAGATAAGGTTCCTTGAACAAAGGGAGCTGCTTTTTCATGAGGGCTAGAAGTTTGTGTCTGTTACCTCTCTCTAACAGGCCTCTCGGGCATCAGCGAGGTGGTCAGAATAGGGGAAGAGAGGTTGTGCTGGGGAAGAAAACTTCAGTTGCTCTGAGATCAAGCCACCATTGCCCACTAAGTATAGGGCAATGGTTCAGCTTCTCAGTCATTGGGTATCATCTTTTTCTTTAAGGGGAACTGTGATACCAACTCCCTCCTCCCCAGAGTCCTGCCTCTGCTGTAATCTGAGTTTACCTCTTTGCTTCCCATCCCCTGGTGTGTTTCCCCAGAGAGGGGGCTGGTCTCACTCCCTTCATTCCTAGCATAATGACATAACACCCAGCATAATGACTACTACTCTCTGCAAATGCCCCTCAGAGCTAGCTCACTGTGTGTGTGTGTGTGTGTGTGTGTGTGCGTGCGTGCGTGCACAAGCGTGTGTGTCTTTCTTTTCTCTGACCAGCCTGGGATGGAGGAAAAGGGTCTAGTGAACTCATTCCCATTATGGAGTGAGTAGTTACCCTCTTCCCCTCAACAGAGATCCTACACAGGTCCCAAAGTGTTCCTAGCAGTGAAAAAATGAGTAAGAGCCTGAAACAGAAAACACCTCACAGAAGTTCCTGAGAGATAGAAACCCTGACTTATCCACTTTTTAAAAAAAATTCCTGGCTCCAGGACAGTGCCTGGTACATAAAAGTCACCAGAAAACGAGAGCTGAACGGAAACTTTCGGTGTAGGGCAGAATCTAAAGTGACCCCTGGAGACTCCTGCCTCCGGTATTTATGGTCTCCAGCTGAGTGTGGAAGGGCCTAGAGACTTGCTTCTAGCCCATGGGGAAAGGTGATAAGATGAGCCCATGGCAAAGGTGATGAGATGTCCCTTCTGTGATTCAGTTACTTAAGATGGTAACTTCTGTCTTGCCAGCCAGTTACATTGCCTTCTTGGCTTGCATACTTTGAGGAAGCCTCTGGAGAGGTTCACATGCAAGAAACTGAGATCAGCCTCCAGCCAGCAACCGGCAAGGATGGAGGCTGTCAGCCCAGTAGCCCCTGAGCCATTGACTCTGCCAACAACCCCCTGAGCTTCAAAGTGAATCCTTCCTCAGTGGAGCGTTCAGATGAGACCTCAACCCTGCCTCTCCCTTGATGGGACCCTGAAGCAGAAGACCCAGGTAAGCTATGGTCAACACTCCTGACCCACAGAAGCTATGAGATAATCAAATGTGTGTTCACTTAAACCGTTAAGTTTTAGGGGAATTTGTTACACAGCGATAGGTAGCTTATACAAATATTATCCCAAACGGGGAACTTTCCAAGCCTGCTGCCTATCTCCATAAGGATTAAAGAAACAGCAAATGAACCAATGCCTGTGCAGGGTACTTGCCTGGAGTTCTGCACAGACTACCTATCTCCTTTTATCCTTTTCCTGGCCCAGTGAGAGGAACACTCTTGTCTTTGTCCCATAGATGAGGACACTGGGGACTTTAGAAGTGTCTTATCCGAGGTCACGCAGCTCGCCTGCCTGGGATCTGAATCCATGTCTGCCTCCCTCCCAACGCTACATTCTAATCCGTAGCCCACACGGCTCTTCGAAAAGAGGGCCAGAAACCTCGGAAGTTTCTTCCTGCCTATTGGGAATAGTGTCAGATGGAAATAAATTCCCCAAGAGGACTCATATGATCGTCTAAACAGGTAGGAATGGATGTTTGTGCACCCAGAGGATCAGAAGATAAGGCAAAGCATGGAAATAGTTGCTATTTGCTGTTTATGGATCTCTGGGATCCCGGGAGGCTAAGTGGACAAAGAGAACCCAGTCAATGACAGATGACCGCTGCACGGGGTGGAAGAGGGCTGTCGTGGTGGAGCTGCAGGTTTCATGACTCCTAGGTGGGGGTGGGGTGGGGGGTGGGCTTCTGACCTGGGCTGTGAGGGTATGCCTCTTGTGGCAGGAGCTAGTTGTTCCCCATAAGGTGATGCGGTCTTGTCTCTCTCATGCATCCTTATTGGCTGGAAAGGAAGAGGACAGTCTCAGGAGAAGACAGGGGTGGCTCTATATCTTGCTTAGTCTCACCCAACCCCTTCCTGCACCTGGGGGCCTCTGCCACTTCTCTTGTCATTTCCCTGCTCAAAAGTGCTTCATTGCTTCTCATTTCATTCAGAGTCAAAGTCAAATCCTTACTTTGGCTTCCAGGACCGGTCTGGCCCCCATTGTCTCTCCAGCCCCACGTTCTTCCCCCATCACTGAGGCTGGCCACACTGTCCTCCTCACTTGCTTCTGCCTCACAAGCCTGCTTCCGCCCCAGGACCTCAGCCTCTGCTCTTCCCTGTGCCTAGAGCACTCTCCCCTCAACTCCTGGCCTGGATCCTGACCTCAAAGCATCGTGGTTGTCCAGGGGGCTGCCTCAGAGAAGCTTCTGGACCAGTGATCCACAGCACTGCCTCCTGACCCCTCACCCTGTGTGGCTCTGGCTCTCTTCATGGCACACGTGGGCCCCAACATC